AAACTTTGGTAGTAGTAAAATTAGGGATAGGTTAAATGAGTTGTGAGTAGAAAAAGCAGTGGTGAGGAAGGTGATGGTAAGGCCCTTTGGGAGGAGGCATTTGGCACATTAAAACATGAGGTTTATATAACCTTGAATTGGAAATTGGAAACCAAAACATGGAGGTGAATTAACTTAGTTGCTTGGTTTATCTCCTTCTTCTTTTCCATGATGCTGGTGCCAAGTTAGAGATGAAGAAAATGTTGACATCATGTAACTATTAAATAATATCTAAGTAGGTTGTTTCAAAACATTACTTAAGTACTCAACCACGCGGTGTCATGTGGATAGGTGTAAAAAATTTATGAGATTATTAACGGATATAGTCAAAACTGACATAAATTTTTTTTTTAAAAAAATGTGAGATTTAAATACAAATATCTGCCGATAATACATAATGAATTTTATTATTTTAAAATAATAAATTATACTGTCTTTAATAAAACTTAAATTTGTGACTTTTAAATATAACCTAAAATTTTAAGTAATAGACTATCGTGTTGATGATTATTAATTAAGAGTTTTGTTGATAATCTTTTTGCATGCACGGGAGTTTAATATATGTTTAATTTTTATATTTAGAATTCAAAAAAAAGAAATACTTTAACAAAGATTTGAATTAGGAAAGAGGAACATACTAGAAGAATTACTTTTTTGTTATCGTCTTGATAATACAACATTCTTTTTATTTATTTATTTTAATTTTATATTAAAAATTTCTAGATAAAATTAAAAAAAAAGAAGCTAAATTTCAAACAATTTATCACTAAAGCAAAATTAATTTAGCGACAAACTGAATTTTCAAATGAGATTTTAAAAGTTTACAAAGTTAAAATTATGGGATTATTATTGATTCTATTTTATTGTTCTCCAACTTTAATTTGTTCCTATCCTTAACTAGTCTTTGACTTAGAAGAAATAAGAGCAATTGTTCAGTAAATATCGATTATTTTAAATTAATTTACTTTTTTTTTTTTGTTGAAACTTTATAGCTTAGTTTGGTTTAAATTATTTATTATCACATAGATTTTTTATTTTTAATATTAAAATTAATTTGATAGATTAACGTGCATACAAAAATTAGTATTGTTAGTTGGTTTGCTAATTAGGACAATTGAGATATTTAAGTACTTAATTGAAC